AATAGATCTACAGATGTCATGTTTACCATTAAGTGAAATAAGAAAAAAAAAGATAATGATAAGATAAATATCCACTTAATCGAACCCTCAGGAATTTTGTTTTACAAGGGGTACATAAATGTGTCACGACACGGTGAAATCCGGTGTTCGTCAATTTTTGAGCATATGGAGTGATTGGTTACAGTCTTAACACTTTTTCATTTGTCTTGCTTTCGAGAGAATTGGACCCATCCATCTAGGACAGAAGTTGAGATATTTGATTTTGAAGAAGGTGGAGGTCGCTTGGTGTCAGAGATAATTTTAGAAAGAAAATGACCGCCAAAGTTAGCTGAATTCCAAAGCTTGAGTCATGGGAAACTGTACATTTACAATTTTTTGTGCCCTTAATCAATGGTTTTCCGTAAAATACACACAGATTTGTGTTTTTAAATGAACATGAAAGGTTTTGAGAAAAGAAAAAAAATCGAAGCCTGTGCACGTTGGATTCGGAGGCGACCGACCCTTGAGCATACGACTGAAAAGATGTATTGCTGTACTGGGCTTTTGGAGCTCAGTGAGTGAAAGAGACAACATGTTCTTTGAAATACTAATTACTTGAAAAGTGCTAGTTTGCGGAAGGCCAGCTACTCGACTCTGTAAAACTGAAAGTTACAGAAACACGAACAAAACTAGACTATTCATTTTTCGATCTTGGGAGACGGAGGAGCTTTTGCATCAGCAGGGACAATGTAGGACAGGTGGACACCGAAACCTTCTCAGTCGAAGATATGGAATAACAACAAGAGACTGCCCCGGGATAGAGAAAGACTGCCTATACCCTAATGCATGGGGAAAAAGGCAATGATGATGATGATGATGATGATGATGATGATGAATTACATGAGAAAAGACATGGGACAATTACTCTGAACCAGCATAGAAGAGATGATCAATGGAACGGCGACTTCTCAAGTCTTCAAAAACAACATCAAAAGAGAGGCATCAGCCAGAAAAAACATGGCAACCGTGTTTCGGGATGTTCATGAAGTGCTTTTCACAGATTTTTAATTTTTTTTTACCACGAGGACTAACTGTCAACTCTGAAGCCTAAAATGAAACAATGATACAACTGAAAGCAAGATTTCGACGAGGTAGACCAATTGAACATGGAAAAAGAGTACTTTTTCACTATGGCTATACCTGTTCGCTTGCGAGTGTCCGAAAACGGAGGCAATCACCTCGTTTAGATAAAAAAAACTCTGCCACATTCAGCTTTATTCTTTTGACAAGGCACCTTCAGATTTTCACCTTTTCGGTCCTATGAAAGGTGCATTGAAAGGTAACAGTATGAAAACAATGAAGAAATCAAGACTGCTGCCAAAAATTGCTAAAAAGCCAATCTGCCCAGTTCTACGAAACTGGCATAATGATATGTAGATTTACTAAAAGGAGGGCATTGACTATCGAACAAGACGGAGACTACGTTGAGAAATAGAAATCCGATCCTCAGATGCTCCCCCTTCAATCTGAGGTAAGAAAGTTGCAATTGCTTTCTTTTTTCTTTAATGACGACGACGACAACAACGACGACGACAACAACGACCACGACGACGATGATGATGATGATGATGATGATGATGATGATGATGATGATGATGATGATGATGATGATGATGATGATGATGACGACGACTACGACGACAATGACGATGATGATGATGAAGATTGTCTGCCCAGAACGATGTCATAAGTACGGTTTCCCACATATTAATCAAAATCAACTTTTTCTTCAGATATCTCGACCAAAATTATGTGTGATAATTTGACTCTCTTTCATTGAAAGCCTGCTTTTTGGTTGCACTTTCTAGGGGGTTCACGTTTCACATTGTCTGTCTGTCAGCCTTCATCAAAAGCAACAATCACGTAGGTCCACTTTGTGGCTGTAACGTTTTTATATATTAAAAAAGTATGCTTAAGCATGATTAATGATTGTGTCGATAAGTGTTGTCACATATATCTTCAAAAATTATATTTCTTTAATCTAATGAAAATACGGACGTCAAAACCCTGATTAGGCCGACAATGTAATGTGCTATAAAGGTTAACAAACGCTTTCGAGCTATCAAGATAACTTGCTTTGCTCTGTCCTCACAACAAGTACTTTGTGCTCATCTGTAGCTTACTGGATCATCAAGGACAGAAATGTCGATTTTTTTCTTTTTCTATTCAGCTCTTCGTAGAGATTATAATATTATAATATACACGTAGTTTATCTAAGATAACGGATAACTGAAGTTCGCCGGGGACTGACAAATGTGTTCAACATCCAATAAGAGGTTTACCGTTAACAAAAAAAACCCCAAAAGAGACCTTAGTCGGGGAACGGCAAATTTTTGCTATCTGTGATTTCGAGTTTTCCGTCTTTGTGTTAGGTGTGCTCGACTCTCTCTCTCCTTCTCTCTCTCCTTCTCTCTCTCTCGCTCTCTCTCTCTCTCTCTCTCTCTCTCTCTCTCTCTCTCTCTCTCAGTCTGCTTATGTGTGTGTGTGTGTGTGTGTGTGTGTGTGTGTTTGTGTGTGTGTGTGTGTGTGTGTGTGTGTGTGTGTGTGTGTGTGTGTGTGTGTATGAGGGTATGTGTACATTTATATAGCTCATCTTTTAAAAATAACTCAATGCTCTTTACACTCGAATACCCATTTTCTAAATCTTTCTCACTACTTCCTTTCTTCTCAAGCAATTTATGTTTACACACACACACACACACACACACACACACACACACACACACACACACACACACACACACACACACACACACACACACACACACACACACGCACACACACGGACTATTTTCATTCAGACGTAGGCACAGAACAACTATAAACCCAAAAAAATAATAACGCTAAAAGCTTATAAAGGATAGATAGGCCTGTAGGAACAGAAAATGCTTAAGATGTCTTTTGAAGCTATCAAGTGTTCTTTGTTTCACGGCGCTCGCAACTACATAAGGCCATAAGAGCGCATAGGACACATTATGTTTTATCAGTGTGGTAAAGACTAATTTTAAATTTTGTCCGGTGATGGCCAAAGCCTATTCTGTTCGATTTTAGTTCCACCAAAGGATCTTAAACATGCGCAACATGCACACCGGACCTCTGAACATTTGTTGTCATTAAACGAGAAGGCAAGGCGTTCGATTTATACCAACTCTAAGATCAGGAGTGTGGCGGAAAGACAGCAGTAAGAAGGACCAATGGGTAGCAGTAGGGAGAGTCAGAGCCCAGTGGAGGGAGGGAAGGAGGGGGGGGGGCATAAGGTGGAGCAAGAAAGGAGGTGAAAGGCGTTAATGTTAGAAAAAAGAATGCTGTTGCTGTCAGGTACCGGATCCAGGATCCATTGAATGAGAGACGAACACCGTACCTCTGTACCGCTCTCTGAGAGAGAGAGAGAGAGAGAGAGAGAGAGAGAGAGAGAGAGAGAGAGAGAGAGAGAGAGAGAGAGAGAGAGAGAGAGAGAGAGAGTGCAAGAAACAAACCATGTCGTCTGTGATCAAAATTGTGACAATGAGTAAATAGACCATTTAGAATCAGGTACAAGTACAATCAATCGATTTGATTCCTGAAATAAACATACCAACAACAAAAAAATGACCTTTAGTAGCCCCACCCCCATGCTTTCATAAAAAAAAAAAAATTGAGCTAAGATAAGTTCATGAAATATAGGTCATTTTGTGGAGAATTTGTACTGAATATCTTGATCTTTCTGCTGGGTCGTTGATTCCCTCTCAGTTCGGGTTGGCCCTAACAAGCAGCGTCGTAGCTGGCCTCCGAAACGATCTAAATTCTAAATTGTGTTGATAGTGGCATAAAATCGCCCACATTTAACAACAACAACTACTTCCAGTTGCTTTAAAATTATGCCGCTGGGCTATGGCTGCCATTCTCACGAACTTCCAGTCAACCCTATATCATGTTGTCTCTCTCTCTCTCTCTCTCTCTCTCTCTCTCTCTCTCTCTCTCTCTCTCTCTCTCTCTCTCTCTCTCTTCTTTATGTAATACACTTTCTTTTATAAAAGAACCACCCCTCTGATTTCCAAATTTCTCGTTGTCTGTCCCCAACTGTCTTCCCCCCCCCTCCCCTTTTCCTTCTACTTTTACATTTTTATAACAGGAAGTGGTTTATTCTCATGTCTCGCTATTCTCACCCCTCCCTTGTTTCACCGGAAATGACCCAAGAGGGATCAGGGCTGAGGTTACCGGACTGATGCCCCACAGGATCGTGTTGGTGTCCTAATAGACATAGATCTAGTCCTAGTCTGGGCTGTCAAATTGGAGCCAATCCTAGAAATTTGGCTCTGTTTTTTTTGGCTCCAAACTCCAAATGTTCAAAAAGAAGGGGACAGAAGAGGCAAACAAACAAAAAAAAATGAAAAGGGAAAGAAAGAATAAAAGAAAAAAATGAAAGTGAAGAAAAGAACCTGGATTGTTTGATACAATTATTAAACTAGTTAACACGATTTAACGCCCTCGCCCATTTAGTCTAATCATAATTTACAACCCTTCAACCGTCAAGCAAGAGCAATTAAAAGCATTACTCTGTAATTTTAAAGGTTTAACGCCGCTTTTATCACTTGTAATTATATAAGGTTATCAAAGTTGCAGGACGTCTGAAATATCGTCTTTTTCTGATACCACTGATCCAAATTGGCGAGGAGCCTTAAAAACTAACCAAACAAACGAAGTTCAGGAATTCCTTCTGAGATAGATTTGAACCTGAGTCATCAACAACATAGCCTAGCTTGATATCAAGTGATCTAACAACACACGCAGTGTTTGTCAGAACACCAATATCTATCTTTTTTAAAACCAGAAGGATAACACAGAGTCTGAGACCCCTAAATATACAGTTATCGCATCAGATCGATAAATGTGACACGATAACCGTCATCCAGATTAAAAACAGACCGCAGTAAGGGCTTATTAAGGGAGCAAAGGTTAAGTTCACTTATCTACTGATATATAATCTGAGGGATGTTTTGTGCTTTGATAATCTCTCCATTCCACCCAGCTACCAGCCATGGAGGTGCTACGCGTTGTGCTCTGTGTCTTAGCAGCAGGTAAGACTCGTAGTGGTGATTTTGTTTTCGATGTCTCAATGTTGTTGGGCAGGTCCTAGTATGCCAGCAAAAATACTGGCTGAAAATTATTGACTTGTTGTGTAATCATCTGTGTCCCCAAATGTATGTGTTTTCACGCCCCTTTCGACACAATTTAGATTATTAACTTTCGTTAAGGAGGCAGGCGTCCGATCCTGTCAGAACCAACCCGGGCTGAGAGGGATACAACTGATACAACATCTCAGCATAAAGATCGAGATACTCGATAACAATTCTCCCCACAGGGGAATGGAATTCGGGTCTTCTGCGAGCCACAGCAAAGTGCCTTACCGTTACACCACAGACACTAGTTAACAATAACAAGTATATGTATACAGTCAAGAATGTCTAAGACAACCACCCATTGTCGAGGAGAAAAATTAGACAGGTAAGCGTCTCTTGTCATTACTTTACTTTCCTTTTATCCGCCACTTATACCCTTTTGGGTGTCGCGGGAAGAAAGAGACACTCTCTCTATCGCCAGCCGGAGAGCCTGGGTCAGGGGGATGCCGTGGGTGGTTAATGTTTCCCTGACTCCATCTATCCAGGTCTTTCTCGGTCGCCCTCTAGCCTTGTAGCCATCGAATTTTTGGATGTGGGCACGTTGTGTTGGATGGTGTGTTGGTAATCGTAGGAGATGTCTAAACTATTTGATTCTTTGGTGTTGGATGTGACGTATGACATAATTTGTGCCCACCATTTCTCGGATTACTGAGTTTTTAATTTTGTCTCGCCTGGTCTTGTTTACTGCTTTTCTAAGGCATCGCATTTCACATGTTGTAATTCTTTGCTCTAATGTCTTGTTTGTGGTCCATATTTGGCATTGGTAGGTGAGTGTTGGGATGACTATGGTGTTGGTCATTTTGGGTTTTGTTGTCATGGGGATGCGCTTCAATTTCTCTGTTCAGTCGCCCATCCTCTGTGAATATATTTCCGAGGTACTTAAATTCTTGGACTTGTCTAAGACTGTTGTTGTTGATGTGTATCCTGAGTGCTTCTGGCTTTCTGCTTACTTTCATTGTCCCTGTTTTGTTGATGTTGATCTTCATGTCGTAGTTATTACATTCTTCGTTTAATCTGGTGGTGTGGTGTTGGAGACTTCGTTCATCTTTGTGTGCCAGGTTTTGGTCGTCAGCAAAGAGTAATTCCTTTAGGGCGTATAGTTTTGTGTTGGCCTCTTTTGTAATTTTATCCATATATATAATAAATAGTAGTGGTGATAGGACACAACCTTGTCTTACTCCGGATGTTATCTCGAACCATTCTGTGAGTCCCTCTGACGATCTAACTGTACTTATGCTGTTCTCGTAAATGGCACGGATGTTATATCTAGAAGTTGGCCTCTTCAGTGTACTTTTCGAGTTCTTTCCACAGTTTGTTTCTGTTCACTCTGTCGAACGCTTTCTCCTGGTCGATAAATACTATATATAGTTCCCTGTTGTGTTCTATTACCGTTTCGCCCATTTGGCATAGGGCAAATATTGCGTCGGTGCACCATCTTCCCTTCCTAAATCCCATTTGGGCCTCACTCAGAAATGGTTCAACTTTGTGTCTTGTTCCAATATCTTGGCGAACATCTTGCCCACATGGCTTAGCAGAAAAATGCCCCAATACATTCCACAATCTCTCTTACAGCCTTTCTTCTTTCAGATTGGTACTATGACCGCTTTTTGCCATTATAATGTAAAATAAAAACAACTGAGAGAAATAAGAGGTGGCCGTTTGTACGTACATAATTAAACTTCAAAGCCATGAACTTTTCCCTTACCCTCCACAGCTGTTATTGTGAGATCGGACGATGACTGTGCGACCAGAATTGACGCAATCTACGGCGCTAGCAGGAAAGCAGAAATGTTCAAGCTTATTTATCAAAACCCACCAAACTTTGATGACCTCTGCGAGTAAGTATCTTTTTGAATATGATATGACTTCACAAACAAACTTACTCATTCTCCCTCAGTCACTCAGTCCATCACTCACTCACTCACTCTCTCATTCACTCACATAGAACCTACACATCCATTCACTAACTCACTCACTCATTCACTCACTCACATACTCATGAACTCACTAGAGCTCTCTAAATTTAAGAACACTGACATCAACGTATCTGTTCTTGTAGACGGGGGAAATATATCCTATACGAAAAAAAACACTTTTGTCTTGGTATGGTGATTGTATATTTGCGAAACAAACGTCTGTGATGAAATTGGTGGGCTCAAGTATCACAGTCTGATCGGCAGGGGCGATGTATCTCATTCAGCCCGGTTGGCCCTGACAGACCAACTAAATGATTTCCTATCTGCTTTCAAATGTGACCAATAAATAATATTTTAAGAATTTAAAAAAGCCGACTTATCGCAGT